GTATATTTTAAACCACAGATAGTTAAATCAATAGCAACAGTCTGTAAAAATGTTTGTCCTTTTTTTAAACGGGCAAAAAGCATTTTTTCTAGTATTTCCGTTTATATTTTCGACATGGGGGTCCTCATTCAAAGTTCACCCATGGCTCCTTGTTGTTTAGGAATTTGGGGCGGTCGGGTAGCCTAGTGGTTAAAGCGTTCGCTCGTCACGCCGAAGACCCGGATTCAATTCCCGACATGGGTACAATGTGTGAAGCCCATTTCTGGGCACGGGTGGCCCAGTCGTCTAAGGCGCCGCGATTACCTGTGCAGAGTTGCGGACCTTAGGCACGCCAGAAACCTATGATTGTGGGTTCGAATCCCGGTTCGCCCCAATTATGTTTCGAGGTTTTATCAGCACCATACCCGTGGTTGTGGGTTTCACCGAAGTGGTAAACGCCCGAGACCTGCATCACTCTGGGCTTTCCTCCCACATGAAGCTGACACGCCGCGATATAATAGGAATACTGTTAAAAGCGGCGTTAAACCCAACTCACTCACTCACCCAATTGTTAGTGTCGTTGATTATTTATATCACCATCGTTTTCCTCGTTAAATATAACTAATGAATCACGTAGAGAGTTTTTTTAGATTATTACTCGGCCTCGACACACCTGCACTGCTGATTGTTATGAATCTGTAATATCATTAAATGGTGTGATAACTAGTGCAACAAAGGTTGACATCTGCTCCGTCACCTTGGCGAAAATGACGTCCTATGTCAAAATGTGAGGGGCACCCTGTGGTAACAGTGACCTGCATCACTTCGGGCTTTCCTCCCAGTTAAGAAGTTAACGATGAAGACACATGTGATATGGTAGTCATATTCCATTCTTGCTCCAATGATGTTGTGCTCGTGATATGCTGGATCATCTTCCGGAGACAAGGGAGTAATTAACAGGCTATATTAGTCCAGTTACACTCTACTACTATACTATGACATACGAGCTCAATTCTCAACTCTATGGCAATTCCTTAGACACCACAAAGGCTAATCCAAGAATCTTGACATTTGTTCATAATTATATGAAATAGGCAAAACTATTGATAATTGATCAGTAAACAAGATTTATAATTTATTACTCGGACCAACACACATTCGTCATATCTACAAGTTATTGCTACCTTGAATGTATTTGCATTTGTGATGTAGCGGTATTTATAGTCGTACCAATCTAAACCAGCATACTGGACTGAAATCCAAATATGTTTAACCATATCTGTCCTTGTTTGTTGATGTGAAAACTTAATTAGGGCCTTTTCACAAGCAATGAATGAGGCAGGATGGCCTCAGGTTTTCGCGAACACCCGGTATTTGACAGTTATTTCATTAACAAGTGATTATGATACAGTGGAAATCATACAATGGAGATCTGATTTCTTCTGATTGATGCGACTGTAGTGTACATATATAAAATGGGTATATACAATTTGTTAATACTCTTCATGAAAGGGGCATAGGCGGCCATTTTGTTAAATCTGAAACGCGTAACCTGTATATCTTTTCGATCTGGAATCCCCATTCAAAGCTCACTTTGGATGAAATAAAGTTTACGATTTGCTTGTTGGGGGACTCTTTGTTATGATCCCTTGATGTTGTTTACAAATTTATTTGAACTCTGTAGGAGGGTGGCTGAAGAGATGCTAAAAACACGCAATGCCCAAGATGGAACTTCATCGGGAAAGGTTGTAACAGACACCAACCTCTCCTGCGTGTATGGGTATCGATGGTAGCTGGTTGCTATGGGATAAGATAGAGTGATGACAAGATACGTGATTTTCAGCCTATCGCTGGTGTAATTCTAGCACAGCCTGCCTTGATCAACCCTTTGACATGTGTGAGTTTGAATGTTGCTTTATGTCTTTGCCATGAACCCTTCACAGTTTTCCCAGATAGGATAAATAGAGTTAAGCCCACAATTTTATGACTGGCGTATGTAAGACAACTTGACCGTGTTGTGCCCCAAGGACAACTGTTTTATACTTTACTGGTTTCTTATTTAGGCGATATTCTCCATGAGTTGAACTTTCGTTTCAGATGGTCTGAAGTGGACATTGCAAGACGTCAGATATTCCTACATGGTCTTTAGACTACTCATGGTTGGCACGACAGTATCTGGTTCCCGGAGGTTATGATCACTGGGGGTATCCATGACAGTGACACCGGGGTTGTTCGGACTGGCAGTAGCTGTTGTTCCAACCAGTCTATGATCACTATTCATTTCCATATGATAATAAAGTCCAGGTTTTGTCTTTGGACAACCCCTACATTCTTTGTTATATTTATCAAGCAGTAGTCTTGTTGGTATGAAAGTCCGGGTAATTCGCTTCGGTAGTTTAGTGATACATCCCATCTAAACAACTAAATAGTTTCTCTCTCAAGTGTGAAGGACTTGTATACATTTCCTACTACAAACTCAGTGTCGTGTACCATGGCTATGTCTATGCAAGTGTAATGCAAAATGCAACATTGGAAATAGTGATGATGATGATGATGATGATGATGATGATGATGATGATCTACAGATTAAAATACAGAAATGCAGCAAGGAGGGTTTGGGTGATCAGTAACCAGGTCAGGTTAGTTAGTCTCATCATCAGCTCAGGGCCCTTGCCCCCTCTACATGCAGCCCAGACAGCGAATGGGACGTCTCCCAGGAAGCGCGCCTGGTCAAACCCACCCAGACCTTTTCGGAGAATGTGAATACTCCTCAACACCGCAGCCTTCTATTTTACGCATGTGCATTGATGACTGCCGTGCAACGTCGATACATGGAATGGATGAGGCGGTTGATGAAGGCCATGGGCACTTGAGCCCACACTTTGAGGAACGCCTGACGCAGTTCAGCTGCAGTTGTCGGCCTTGGTCGGACGCCATTCAGTCGTCTTTGAATCTCGTCCCACAGTTGCTCAATGGGATTTCCATCGGGACTGAGGGCAGGCCACTGCATGGTTCTGATGCCATTCTGCTGGAGGAAGTCTCTTGTTGCTCTCACAGTGTGGGCACGGGCGTTATCATGCTGAAATTCGTGATTGCGGCGACGTGCCAAATGAGGTACGGCGTGTGGTCTCAAGACTTGACCGGTTCTGGAAGACCACATGGCCGACCCTCTGTGCAAGACCAATTCCACTCCACACCATGATGCTCGGACCACCCTAGTCCTGCACAATGACTGTGGAATATATTTATTTTATGAAAAAGAAATTTTATGAGTCAAGAAGGATATTTTGTAATATAAGATTTCAGAGACTAAATGTTAGTCTAGGACCACTCCACGAGTCTCTTTCAACAACACAAGCATCCGAATGACGTTCCCCACGACGTCGCCAGACTCTCTCTCTCTCTCTCTCTCTGCCATCTGCTTGTGAGATACAGTAACGGCTCTCGTCTGAGAAGAGGACTCTTCTCCACTGCTGGTGACGCAAATGCTGGTGCTGTGTTGCCCACTGAAGACGGTCCCGGCGATGACGTAGTGTCAGAATGGGTCCTCGGTGTGGCCTGTGACAGTGGAGGTGTCTGCTCGTCAATCGTCGACGCACGGTGTCCGCACTAATGTGTCGCTGGTGTTCCCATGGTCTGTCGAGCAGTTTCCACAGCAGTAACAAAGCGATCTTGAAGATGCTGTCGCACAATCTGACGATCCTGACGTTAGGTGGTGACCTTGTTCTTCCACTACGTGGTCGGCCATCTGTAGTGTTGGTGGTCTGGAGTCTCTAGATGGTCCTTACGTGGACTTGAAATGCATTGGCTACTTGCCGGGCGGTTTGTCCAGCTTGCAATCGTCCAAGGGCTGATTTTGTGTCAATCTTGGCATGTGGTAGCAATTTAATAACGAATGAATGTTTTCCGATCTGGGTGGATTTGTATAGGGCGAGAAATGGAGGAACGCATGCGCATTTCAATTTGCTCGGAACTCAAGTGCATAGGGTTACCATGGCCGTTTCCGTAATGCGTTTAGGCTATCAGTTTTATTGTCATTTGCTTTGTTTTTTTATCATCAAATTTCATTTCCCCGGACAATGTAATGTTAAATTTTAGAAACTTTGATAAAATTACCCAGATATTTAACTGACAACTTTTCATGCAATGTTAGGGGCGGTCGGGTAGCCTAGTGGTTAAAGCGTTCGCTCGTCACGCCGAAGACCCGGGTTCGATTCCCGACATGGGTACAATGTGTGAAGCCCTTTTCTGGTGTCCCCCGCCGTGATATTGCTGGAATATTGCTAAAAGCGGCGTAAAACCAAACTCAATCACTCACTCATGCAATGTTACTTGGGATGACGTTTCTTTTGCGGTTCAGTATATTTTATACCACAGATAGTTAAATCAATAGCAACAGTCTGCAAAAATGTTTGTCCTTTTTCTTTAACGGGCAAAACGCATTTTTTCTAGCATTTGCGTTTATATTTTCGACATAGGGTCCTCATTCAAAGTTCAGCCATGGCTCCTTGTTATTTAGGAATTCGTTTGAACTCTGTTGGATGGTAATTGAAGAGGTGCTGAAACGTGCAATGCACAAGATGGAAAATTTTCGGGATCGGTTGAAGTAAACATCACCTTCCCCTTCGTGTTTTTGTATCGATGGTAGCTGGTTGCCATGGAAATCAAACAGATATTACTGATGTCAGACAGGACAACACCGCTTACACAAATGGCGGACACACATGGCCACACGTGGCGAAAATTAGAAGGGAGTGACCAAATAGTTGCCCACGGACTGTCTCAAGCGTTGCCCATTGGTGGAGAAAGAACGTCATCACAGTTGGAGGGGTGAAAAATACACAATTTTATAAACGTTCTATTTCAATCCTCTCCAACGTCTTCCACGCTTCAAATTATTATTAGGCATTGCGAACAGTGGGGTTTGCCCAAATAGATATGAAACACTCCCACTGTAAAAGCTCCCTATAAAAGCCCAGAACACTCTATGCAACGTTATCTCTGTAGAAGCATCCATTCGATTAGTTTGGTTCCTGGACTCGGAACAGAAGCTCCTGGTAGTTCTATAATAGTAGAAGAACGCTTTGTAGCTATAGTCTCGGCCATGGCAGCTGCTCATTCCAACCAAACCTTCAAGATCGTTGTCCTTGGTGCTCCTGGAGTTGGGAAGAGCACCATCATCTCCCAGTTCCTGCACCGGAAGTTCCTTGAGTTACACTGGTTCACCATCGAGCTGGAACAACAGACAACTTTGATCGGTAAGGAAGGACGACAAGTCTCCCTCGAGATCGTGGACACTCCAGGTGGATACTGCTTTGGGGCAAGAAGAAGGATTGCAATTGAGTCGGGTGATGCATTTATTCTTGTATTCTCTTTGGAAGATGATTGCTCGTTTGAGACAGTAGCCATGATCAGGGAGGATATCCTTCGTATCAAGAGGAAGAATAAAGTTCCGATCCTTTTGGTAGGAAACAAGACTGACATTGAGGATGATAAAAGAATCACGGGGCAAACTGGTGCTGAACATTTTGCCAAGAAAGAATGGAAAACCAAGTACGTTGAGGCTTGTGGCAAGGACCACAGCAGTGTCACGCGGGTGTTTCAGAAGCTGCTCAAACTGGCAAAGATTAAGGTCGAACTAAGCTCCCATGAACAAGGGGAAACGCGAAGGTTTACCTTCCCTGGAAGGGTGAAGCGAAAACTTAGGGCCATTGGTGAGAGACGAAGTTCTGTTGCATAGTTATTTCATATGTTGTATAAATTGGTATTTTGGTGCATAATTAAATAATTATGATGCTGTAAGACTTGATAACGACTTAATAAATCTATTTCTATCATTTTGTTGTCTCTTTTCAGTACATGCGATATCGTGTGACTGGATTTCTGGTCCATCACCTGATTATCTGATTATTTTATATGCAGCTGTCGCATGGCAGGAGAAGGGCTGTGCGGCGTGAGGCAGAAAACGCATACAATATTTCTGCAATTGAGGGAGTGGTGGGTGCTACCGATAGGTCAGGACATGCTTACCATATTTCCGAAGACCGCCTCCGTGGCCTAGTGGTAGAGCGTCCGCCCGTAGAGCGGAAGGTCCGGGGTTCGATGCCCGGCCGCGTCATACCAAAAGACGTTAAAAGAAGGTTCTTGTTGTGAACCTGTCTGCCGCTCGGCATTAAGGGGCTAAAACAAGGACTGGTCGGCCCTGAGTCAGTATACTGTGTCTGAGTGGGGTATTCATGTTAAACTGCGGCATGGTATCTCAGTGAGCTTGCACTATAAATCGGCATACAAGCAGCCACACACATACACACACGTACATGCACGTCGCTATATAAGTGCAACAATCTTGGACGCGACGTTAAATCCCATTTCACCTCACCGTATTGCCGAAATTTTTGTGTCATCACTGATTTTTCAGTACGCCTTTTAAGACAAATGGAATCTGTTTTAGCGGATAATCGCGACCCGTTCATCTCTGGATTCATGTATCTGCTGATTGACTGAGGTCCCCGAGTTTCAGCTTGAGCTTTGTGGTATTTTATCATTTATACTGAGTCAGCTACAAGAGATGCAAGAATGCCTTCCTAAATTGACTTAGGTTTGTACTATGTTTGCTGTTTGAAAACAACGACGACATGCATAGCTTAACGTTGCACTCAGCAATATTCAAGCTGTATAACGGTGGCCTGAAGATATTAAGTCGGAACTAGGCAATCCAGTGATTGATATTGTGAGCAATGATCTACGTAACCGGGTACGATGACAGGCAATAGTCTGGTGGTTAAAGCGTTCGCTCATCACGCCGAAGGCCTGGGTTCGATTCCCCACATGGGTACAATGTGTCAAGCCCTTTTCTGGTATATTACGAAAAGCTGTGTAAAACCGTAGTCAGTCACTCTCGTGGATGGAGCCTGTCCGGATCTAAACGTCTGGTGCCTGATCCCCGACCGCGTCATCCCAAAAGACAGTGTCAATCCCTAAAATAAGTCTGTGGGACAACAAAATAGACTGAAAAATGTCTGAATAGCAAACTAGCCCTTATAGACTAAAGTCTGTCACTTTGAGTGGCGACCCGTAAATATTCTGGGGTAGAATTGGCCTTCAGCAACCCATGCTTGCCGTAAAAGGTGACTATGCTTGTCGTAAAAGGCGACTAACGGGATCGGGTGGTCAGGCTCGCTGACATTGTTGATGCATGTCATCGATCCCAATTGCGTGGATCGATGCTCATGATATTAATCACTGGTTGTCTGGTCCAGACTCGATTATTTACAGACCGCCGTCATATAGCTGGAATATTGCTGAGTGCGGCGTTAAACAACAAACCAACCAACTAACCAACTTTCATTGACCAAGGAAATCCTGAATTACTAAAGATTTACAACCAGATTTGTACAATTGAGGTGGCAAAAACGAAAAATACATGAGAAATATCAAAGTATAAGAAAATCGCGCGGGAGCGAAAATCAATCGTACTAAAACATTTCCATACTTAATGAGATAGCAAACATATGATATAACATATTTCAAAGCAATACATGATAAAAGTATGCGATTTTTCAGCTGGAGAATAAAATTCTCGGGTCACCAATTCTCAATGAACGTGAAGGTCTGGACAACACACGACCGCCGGACTTTGCCGAATGGTGACGGAAGCCGGACGATTAAGGGGGAGGGAAGCGGTGCCGTCACTGGACCGTGATTAGACATGTTTCATGTCCCGATGACACTGGGTTGATCAAAATAAACTTTCATGCGTACAACTGTTAAGTTGGGAATTAAAATGTTTAATGTCTTTTTTATTCCTCTAGAAGCGGGTGTGGTCGTGGGATCTGCAAACCAAAAACTAAAGAGTCGCCCAAGTGCTAAAGTCAGGAGCGAACATGATGCCCCCTGATAGTTTACACCTCAAAGTTGACAAATGAGCACCACTTTAATATGTATTACGTGCATCTTTTGAAATAGCCAAAGACAATATTGTGTGAACAAAAATACGTTGTCATGCGCCACACGGTGCCAACAAGCATGTGACCATTTATCAGGCAGCATACCCTCCTCATAATGAGAGTATCTGACAAAAACTGAAACGTGAAAAACCCGCGAAAACAAATTCATTGTACCCCCCAAAAAAACACAAAATAAAAAACACAAAACAAAACAAACAACAACAAAAAACAACAATAAACAAAAAAAATTTAAAAAATGACAAACAACCAGAACAAAAAACAGCTAAAAACACTCAGTAGCGTATGTGATCCACTTGGTGCGATCACAGAATGGCACCCTCGTCTCGTGCTTCCAATAAGTGTCTCGGTGGTTGTCAAGGGAAGATTGTCTAACTCTACAGCAAGAGCATTGCCGAGTTCCTGTAGAGAAGCCGGAAGGACGGCGTTGTGAGAGGGCGATCTGCAGCTCGTTGCACGTGTGTTCGATAGGGTTTAGGTCTGGTGACACTCTGGTGCTCTAAGGAGGCACGATTATGTGCTTTGTCACCCATGAGGGTGAATCCCCTCTGATTGCACCAGCATTGGTCTGTCCAGAATGTCATCTCTGTAGCGCACACACACACACACCTGCCAACGTGCCCCGCCCTAGATTTCAGTTTAGATATACAATATATCTGGACACATTTCTTAAATCTTTTAAACTTTTGGGTGAAACATTTTTGTAGAGTTTAAAAATATTCAGCCACAAGTAGTAGTTTTTATTTTTTTTGGAATATACAGAATTCTTTGTTGAAGAGGGGGGCGGTCGGGTAGCCTTGTGGTTAAAGCGTTCGCTCGTCACGCCGAAGACCCGGGCTCGATTCCCGACATGGATACGATGTGTGAAGCCAATTTCTGGTGTCCCCCGCCGTGATATTGCTGGAATATTGCTGAAGGGGCGTAGAACCATACTCAACGTTGGAGAAGAGCTCCGCATCTGAAAAGATCATCTACTGACTTTGAATCACAGAGCTGACAAAGTCTTTCTTGTCTTCGTATATTCTCAGCGGGTCTCAGCGGGCAAACTAGGATTTGATTTACATGGGTGAGTTGGGTTTAACGCCGTTTTTAACAGTATTCCAGTTATATCGCGGCGTGTCAGGGAGGAAAACCCGAAGTGATGCATGCAGGTCTCAGACGTTTTACCAATTCGGTAGACCAACGAGCACGGGTATGGTGCTAAGAAACCTAGAAATATAATCGGGGCGAACCGGGAATCGAATATGAACAATCATATGTTTCTAGCGTGTCGCGAATCGCTCTGCGAATCGCGGCTGGGCCACCCGTGCTCCCAAAAGTGGAATGAAGTACTCACTCACTCACTCATTCCACTCTTGTATAAACTGACCCTGAAAATCTCTGATCGACCTTTGAGACCAGCCAATTTGTAGAGCATGTGTATGGTTTATGAAATATTTCAGTTAGTCTAACATCATTTAGTATCTTTTGAACTCTCACAATCCATGGTAATTTTTTTTCTATATTCCGCTGGCTTTGAGATAATGTTCCGGTACAAAATGTTATATTAGTTATTTATGCTATCCGGGCAAATTAGTTTGTGCAAGTAAGTTATCATACGTTTAAACAGTTTGATATGAATTGGTTCCGTCAAGTCCCCATATACCATATACTTTGGCGTTGATTTTCTTAATCCGACTGAACGGGTCAATAATTATAAGTGTATTGTTTGTGAACTAAGCGGCAAAAGAAAGTATAGGTTGGCAATTTGTAATTTTCCTAAAAACAGCGACAATTAGTGGAAAGTGGGTATTGGGAATATGACTGCCCAGGAACAGGTACCAAAAAACACCTCACCCGAACGCGCCACCTTTGACGGCGCTCGTGCGGTGACAAAAAAATTGTGAAACAGGTTTCCCGCCTATGGTATAAACTGCGCGTGCATGTTAGCTGTATAAATGCGTTCGTCTGCAGGGTATAACCACACGTGATGAAAGCACACAAAAGAAATGTCATGACTGTCACAGAAGCAGAGAGAGAGAGAGCCATCGGTATGGTCGAAATGGGGGCAACATAGGTCCAAATTGCCAGAAGGTTTGGTTGTACACCATTGACAGTAGCCAGGCTGATTCAACGGTACAGGCAGACAGGGAGGACACAGGACAGGCCTAGAACCGAACGACCCCGGGTGACAACATCACTGGAAGACGGTCAGATACGGCTCATTCACCTGCGAAACAGATTCGTAACGGCGATGGCGACGGCAGCAAAAGCGTTGGGACATCCCATTAGCCAACGTACAGTACTACGACGACTTCGTGCTGCTGGAATCCGAGCGTTTCGTCCTTTCCGAGGAATGGTACTGACTGCTCAACATCGACGCCTGAGACTGCGATGGGCGAGGCAGGTTCGACGCTGGCAAGTGAGAAATTAGTTTCGAGTGCTGTTTACTGATGAAAGTCGGTTTAACGTGTTTCGAAATGACGGCAGAAAACGAGTTTATCGACGCAGAGGGGAACGTTTGGCTCCGGCGTGTATTCAAAAGGTCCATCCATTCGGCGGGGGTGGTGTCATGGTGTGGGGTGGTATTTGTGGAGATCAGAAGACTGATTTGGTGATTATACAGGGAAACCTGAACGCTGTGCAGTACAGAGACCAAGTGTTGCAGCCAGTTGTGCTTCCGTTCTGACAAAACCAACAGCAGGGGACATTGTTTCAACACGGCAATTTCAGGCCCCATATTGCAAGACTGACTCGGAACTTTCTAAACCAGCAGAACGTTGACGTTTTGCCCTGGCCTGCCCACTCACCCGATATGAATCCTATTGAACATATGTGGGACCATCTTGACAGACAGATTAGAGCACGCCATCAGCCTCCCGTCAACAGACAAGAATTGCAGCAGGCCCTGAGAAACGACTGCCAACGGATTCCAGTCCACATCATCAGAAGACTGATGTCATCGATGAGGCGGCGTATCACAGCATGCATTGAGGCAGCTGGAGGTCATACACGCTATTGAAGGCAACTGTGTCGACAATGAACTTGTAGTGTGTCTGACAATTTTTTGGTGACATTTCAGACAACTTTTGAAAATGAAATTTCTTACCCCACCATTGTTTACCTTGAGCTTACATTACCTGTGATTGCACAATTTCATTCAAACTGTTTATCAATCATTTGTTACCCCTCCCTAGATTATATTATAATTCTCAACAAAACCTCTACTTTCTTTTGCCGCCCAGTTTATTACATCTAACTTTTCAAACCCCCATACATCTGAACTATACTCAACAACAAAAGTTCCTGTGACACCAATATTTTAGTGTATTTTTCAAACAAGTAAAGTTTGGTTTTCAATATTGTAGTACATGTATGGGATCAAGTCACAAAAACGCAACTACTACAGAAAAGCATGCATTCCATGCAAAAGTAGACTTTTATTCAAGCCCCATGCATTTCACTACCTAAGAATGGGTATAAAAACATGTGCGTTAAGGGGATTCCATATGCATTGTTTAGCATCGTGCTAACAACAACCACTCAGAAAAACAACAAAATTACGCAATTATTCAACATTATGAAATGCCACGCCTGTACGAAAATGAGCGTCTGCGAGCCATTGGTATGCTTGAAGCAGGATCGAGTGAACGTGATGTTGCAAGACAATTTAACGTCCACAGAAACACCATTTGATGTTTATGGCAATGTTGGCAACAGACGAATGCAGTCAGAGACCATCCTCGGAGTAGCAGGCCACGCGTAACCAATAATCGAGAAGACAACTGGATTCGAACAACACACCTACGAAATCGATTCCAGCCAGCAAGAGTGACTGCAAGAAGCATCCCTGGCCTTCGACGAATATCGACACAAACCGTACGTCGTCGCCTGAGGTGTGCAGGGATTGTCGCCAGAAGACCCGCCAGGCGTCCCATTTTTGACAGGAAACCACCGTCAAGCACGTCTACAGTTGTGCAGACAGAGCCTACGCTGGACGGCCATGCAGCGGGGACAAGTTCTATTCACTGACGAGTCTCGTTTTCACCTCAGCCACAGCGATGGACGGGTTCGAGTGTAGCGACGTCGAGGTGAACGTTACGTCAATCATTGTGTCATGAAAGAAGATCGTTTCTGGGGGCGGCAGCGTTATGGTATGGGGTGGGATTACAGCAAGACAGAGGACCCGTTTGATAGTGGTAGAGGGAAATCTCAATGGACAGCGCTACCGCGATGAGATAATCGGCCCTGTTGTTCTACCGTTTTTGCGTCGTCATGGCCCAGGCATTAACTTTCAACATGACAACGCCCGGCCTAATATTGCTCGAGTTGTTCAGGATTCTCTTCAACAAAACAACGTGAATGTCATCCCCTGGCCGGCTCGCTCCCCTGATCTCTCACCAATCGAGCACATGTGGGATAAGATGGATCGGTGCCTTCGACGTCAACCACATGTTCTACAGACACTCCAGGCACTTCGAAACATGCTCCAGCAGATATGGACAGATATCCCACAGGACTTTGTGCGACTTCTGGTTCATTCCATCAGACGAAGATGTGTTGCTTGCATCGCAACCAGAGGTGGACACACACGCTATTGATTTGTAAATTGACATTTTGGCATGTTCATGTTCTTTATGAAATCACGCCATTTCTGGTGTCAGTATGACAATAAACCATTTGAACACTAACAGGAGTCTTTTATCTGTTGCAAACCGAAATTGTTTCAGATTTGGTAAAAATCATAACTTTGCATTAAATCTTATTCAATGTCACATGAACTTTTGTTTTTCAGTATATATATTCACACGCAAAAGAAACGCAAGTGGTTTTAAGCAAATAGGTAACAAACACAGAACCTTAAATTGATACGAGTTTCAGCCTGATGGCTTTATCAATATTTTTGATTGCATTTTGGAAGCCCCGAGTAAAAACACAACACCAAAAACGAATCGCCAAAACGTACCATTCCAATGAATATGTAGGTATCATGCACCCATTTCTCGCGAAATCGAAATTGCACGAACTGTCACGAACCGTAGTGGGTATAAAACTGTGGCCGATTCTTGGACCTACCACTCCTTGGTCAACAATGCCACGCCTAACTCAAATTCAGAGAAACCAGGCTATCGGACGTTTGGAAGCTGGAGAGTCTGTCAAAGATGTTGCCCGTCATTTCAACGTTAACATAACCACAATTTACCGTCTCCTGCATCAATACAATGCTACACAGACCACAGATGACCTCCCTCGGAGCGGTCGTCCTAGGGTCACCACAGCTCGACAAGATTGGCAGATTACCCGAGAACACCAACGACATCCGTTCCTAACTGCAAGTGAAAGTGCTCGACAGACCATAGGAACACATAATCGATACATTAGCCGGAACACTGTGATCCGACGTCTCCGTTCCAACAACCGCAGATGTCGCCGACCAGCACGTCGTCCTGTTCTCCAACCACGGCATCGACAAGCACGACTTCAGTGGGCACAGTGTCATCACAATTGGCGTCATCGTGAGTGGAGGCGTGTCATCTTCTCTGATGAAAGTCGCTTTTGTGTCTCCCTTGCAGACGGAAGGGTCAGAATTTGGCGGCGTCGAGGTGATCGTTTCGCTGACAGAAACGTTGTGGAAAGGGATTCATGGGGTGGACCTAGCGTCATGATAAGGGCAGGGATTGGACTTAATGCGAGACTTGGACCCATGTGCTTTCTGAATGTTGGTCAAGGTCGGGGACATTTTTGGCACAACATCAACAACACATTTTCCAGCAGGACAACGCTCGTCCCCATGTTGCCAGAGCTACCATGGCCTTTCTGCAACAACACAACATCCGTGTTCTACCGTGGCCAGCCCTCAGCCCTAAACTGAACCACATCGAACACTTGTTGGGTGAGGTTAAAAGGCGTCTGCACAATGTGCGCCGAGTCCCTAGAACTTTCGATGAACTACGCACAGCTGCTCTGGATGTGTGCAGGAGGATCCCTAGGGCCTTCACAAATCCTCTGATCCACTCAATGTACAGGAGACGTGTGGCAGTGATCAATGCTAATGGTGGTCACAACAGGTATTGACTGACATTTTGGGTATTGACCCGAAACTGTGTAAGCCCTTAACATTTGATTTTTTTTAATGTCATCTGCCTTTTAATCCATTAAACTGTCTTCAGTCAAATTTTTGTCAATCTTGCCCTATTAGTATTTCTTGTCTTTACTGTTGAAAATAAATACCATGTATACTGCATACTCGACTTGCGTTTCTTTTGCGTGTGAGTATATAAAATGATTGGAGCAACCATAATATCAAATTCAGTTAGGCTGACAGGCCAAGAACAGGCAGACCCAGGGTGACCACGCCCCACGATGATCGGTACTTGCGTACCTTGCACCTCCGAAATCGCTTCCTGGCAGTGACGTAATCGGCGACAAATGCCTTAGGTCACAGGGTTAGTCGACAGACAGTGGCCAGGAGACTCAGGGCTCATGAAATCAGGGCTTTTAGACCATACAGAGGACAGCTATTGACAGCGCAACATCGTCGTCTGCGATTGAGATGGGCCCGGACTGTACGACGTTGGCAACGACGTGACTGGCAGAGGGTTGTCTTCACTGACGATTCTGTATGTTTAGGGCTGATGGAAGAGAACGTGTTTACCGCCGAAGGGGTGAACGAACGGCGGCGTGTTGCGTGCAGGAGGTCGTACCATATGGTGGAGGGAGTGTCATGGTGTGGGGAGGTATCTGTGGGCAGGA